TTTTGAGAATGATGATGGCAACAAATGTACATAAGTGCTTGACACAATGGATGTATGTATGGATTTTGATAAGAATTGTACGAGTCCCCAATAAAATGATTTTTAAAAAACAGATGAAAAACTTGCCATTTTTGACATGGTATAAATCAAAGAATGAGTTATATGGGGAAGGATTAGAGATAGAAGCGCCACCTTCAGAAGTGTATAGACAAAAACAAAACAAAACAAAACAAGCATACCCTTAAATGCCAAACACATTAAGATGACATCTTTTGATATTTTGTTTCATAAAGCTTTCTGTAATTGTAAAGCAATACTTTTTGTATTATTCTTGTATAATGTTACCACTTGGGGTCCACTTTTAACTTGGTTAGTGTAAGTCCTTTATGATATAAACTGAAAAGAGCCCCACCCCCCACCGCCTCCAATTAAAAAACAGGAAAAGGAAACAAAAATCCTCACAAATAGACCAATAGTTATTATCATGATAAACAGAGAAAAGGTTGAAGTTGTCAAGGATTTTATCTCGCTTGAATCCACAATCAATGCTCATGGAAGCAGCAGTCAAGAGATCAAAAGGCATGTTGCATTGGGTAAATCTGTGACACAAGACCTCTTTAAAGTGTGTAAAGCAAGGATGTCACTTTGAGGACACATATGCATGTGAAAGGTGGACACTGAATAAGGAAGACTGAAGAAGAATCCTCAAGCTCACTGCCATGAAGTCAGTGCTGATTCCTAGTGACTGGCTGTGGGTTTCTGAGACTGTAACTGTTTACGGGAGTAGAATGCAGTCTTTCTCTATTGGAGTTGATGGTGGGTTCTAACTTCCATCCATGCCGTTCTCAGGCCAAAGAGTGACCACTACACCACCAGGGCTCTGAAGAATAGATGTATTTGAGTTGTGGCACTGGCAAAAAATATTGACAGTGCCATGGATTGCCAAACAAATCTAGCTTGGAAGAAGTACAGCCAGAATGCTTCTTAGAAGTAACGCCGGTGTTCCCATGCAAAGTATTCCCTTTGTCTCACATACTTTGGCCATGTTATCAAGAGAGATCAGTTCTTGGAAAAAGGACATTATGCTTGGTAAAGTAGAAGGGCAGCAAAAAGAGGAAGACCCTTGACAAGATAGATCGACACAGTGGCTGCAAGAATGGGCTCAAACATAAAAGCCATTGTGAGGATGGGGCAGGGTTGGGCAGTACTTCTGTTGCCCACAGGGTCCCTGTGAGTCCGAACCGAGTAGACAGCACCGAACACAATAAACTGTGAAGGACCTCTGGTGGTTCAGTAGGTTAAGCCTTGTGCTGCAAGGTCTGCACTTCAGATCCACCAGCTACTCTACAGGAGAATGATACGGCTGTCCGATCCTACAAAGATTTACCACCTTGGAAACCCTAATGACAAATTCTACTCTGTTCTATAGAGTTGCTATAACTCTGAATGAACTCAATGACTGATGCATAAGAAACTGATCCAAATAAGACTAGGGGATACTTCATGATTTGAAACTAGGAATGATGTGTGTCAGGTTTGCACCCTTTCCCCATAACTTAGTCTGCCTGTGTGCTGAGCAGTTAATCTGGGAAGCTGGACTATAGAAAGAGGAAGACTCGTTAACCGTCTGCAATATACAAGTGACACAACCTTACTTTCTGAAAGCAAAGAGCATTTGAAGCATTTATGATGAAGATAAAAGGTACAAATTTCCATATAGATTACATCTCAATAGAAAACAAAATTCCTCACAACTGGACCAATAAGCAACATTCTGATAAAAAGAGAAAAGAGAAACTGTCAAGGATGGATTTAATTTACATGGATCTACAACCCAAACCCATGAAAGAGCAATCCCGAAATCAAACAATGTATAAGGCAAATCCATTGTACGAGATCTCCTCACCGTCTTAAAGAACAAGTATGTCACCTTGAGGACTTAAGGTGTGCCTTACCCAAGCCAGGGGACTTTCTTTTCTTTTTGAAGTTCCAGTGGGCTTTTATTGATATAAATGAACACAAATCAATATTTCACCACTTTTCCCTGAACCATATAAATGCAGTGAAGCCTGGTCCATATACGTGTACATACAACACATCCCAACAAAAACAGAACCCCACTGGAACATAAGCCAATTAACATAAAGCCAATTTCCCCCCTCCCAAATATTTTCAGATTTTTAAGTTCGCACTGCTCACTTCAGTGGAACTGATCCCTTGTGCCTAGGGACACTGGAAATCTCGCCCATTTTCATTGAACAAAAAAGTAAGAAATTTCAAGTTTGCTTTAATTAAAGGAATAGTGACTTTGTTTTATCCAGCACCTCTTCCCAATAACCAATGGTTAGGATACAGTAGCCTTTATCTTAATTACCCACCCATACTGACACCCTTGCCCTGCCCAGCACTGTCTCCAGATAATTTAAATACACTTCTGTTGGAATCTTTCAGCTGTGGAGGGGCAGAGTCCAGGTATTTTCAATTGGTTAATATGCTTGTAAACACTGAGCAATGTTCTATAGGGTTGCTATGAGTTGAATCAATTTGATAAGAGTGAATTTTGGTTGGACCCTGTATCTGACTCATTGACCTCCAGTTCATGAGCCAGAAGCCTGCCATACTGCCTGCCAATTGTGGAAGTCACCAACAGTCTGCCATCTAACCTGCTGATCTTGGATTCATTCGCTTATACAGTCACCAGCCTCTGTTTTTCCTTTCCATCTTAGGTTCATCAACCCCCACCACTATGCAAGTCAGGAGAATTTACAGTCTAGCATCTGACCTATGGACTTGGGACATGCTTGGACTTGTCCATTTCTGCAATTGTGTGAGCCATTTTTTTTATGTTGTTGTTGTTAGGTGCCATTGAGTAGGTTCTGACTCGGTGACTCTATGTGTAGAACAGAGAGAAACACTGCTGAGTCCTGTGTCATTCTTATAATTGTTATGTTTGATCCCATTGTTGCAGCTACTGTGTCAATCCATCTTGTCATATAAGGTTTTCCTCTTTTGGTTACCCTTCTACTTTACCAAGCATGATGCCTTTTTCCAGGAACTGGTTTCTCTGGATACCATGTCCAAAGTACATGAGACAAAGCCTTGCCATCATTGCTTCTAAGGAGCATTCTGTTGTACTTCTTCTGAGACAGATTTGTTTGTTCTTTTGGCAATTCATGGTACTTTCAATATTCTTCACCAGCACAGTAGTTCAAATGTGTTTTCTTTGGTCATACTTATTCAGTGTTCAACTTTCTTATCCCTATGAGACAATTGAAAATACTAAGGTTTGGGTCATACACATCTTAGTCTTTTAAAAAAAATCATTTTATTAAGGGCTCATACAACTCTTATCACAAATCCATACATACATCAATTGTGTAAAGCACATTTGTACATTCATTGCCCTCATCATTCTCAAAACATTT